AATGTGTAAGGTGGAATTTATCATCTGAAGCAAATGATAAGATATGAAGAGTCAGAGAGAGGGGAGAACTGAAAATGAGTTCAAAATGTTTAACTGGTTGCCTTCCACAGAAATAGGGAAATTAGGAAAAGATGAAGAATTCTTTTTTTGGACAAGGAGGGTTTAGATGTCTATAGAATAGGCATTTGGCTAAATGAGAAGCTGTTTGTGAATTATGCTCACCCTAGTAACCACAAAACAACTCAAAATGTACCAAATAAACTATAAGAACAACAACTAAAGGAAAGGAAAACTAAGAAATTTCTACAAGGAAATATCTATAGAAAAACAAGCAGGGCAAAATTCCTGATAAAATAAAGAAATACTATAGGGTAAGAGGATGCCAAGTGAAATTTTCAGAAGCAGAAAATAATTTTAAAATAAAAGCCTAGAACACCGAAAAAGAAAAATCAAACAGCACCAGAAGCCTAAGAGTGGTTGAAAAGCCTTAAAGAATTAAAGAAAAAAAGAGTAAAATTAGAGTTCTTAATGAAAAAAAAAAACTTTACAGGAGAACAGATTGCATAGAAACTGAAATTATTAACAAATTAATGCATAGTGAATATAGAACTAAAAAAATTTCAACATACAAGAATTATTAGTCAAAAGACTACAAAATTGTAAGAACCTGTAAGATTTCTACACTCAAAAGCAACTGATATTAAGAGAGAGCACAGACACTATTAGAATCATTAGCCTCTCAAAAGAAAAAAAACCCCATAATGAAACAAAAAGCCTAAATACCACATTTCAGTAAATCATTTTTAAAAATGACCTTAAATGTTGGAATTTGAGGATGAAGTATCCACAGCATAGCATCAGAAAAGGCCCCCAGGTCTAATTCACCCAGAATTAATAATAACATTTGACATTGTATAGTACTTTAAAGTTTATAAAATATTTTTACACATATTATCTTATTTGATCCCAACAAAAATCTCAGAATATAGGTTCTATAGATATTTTTATTCCTATTTTGTACATAAGGAATCTGAAACTTAGAGAGATTAAGTAATTTGCTTATGATTGCAGAGTTACTAAACTCCAGAGGCGAAATTTTAACATAGGTTTTCCGCTAGTACCCTATCCACTCTGTGATGCTGCTTCTGGCTGAAGTCAAGAGCTCCCAGGTAGAATATTGTGAGCAACTAGAAAGAGACAGGTTATACACCAAAGAATCCCAGTCAGAATGGTCCAGGAATAGTTACTATGTCTGAAATATCAAAGAAAAGTCTAGAATATGTTATATCAAAAAAGCAAAGTGGATTTCACCTGAGATAAATTAATCTTCAAAGTAGAAATGTGAATAATGAATAATATAAGAATGAAAAGGACTTTTAACAGAATTGCTGTCTTTCAATCATTCCTTTTGAGAAAACCAGTGTTGGACAAAATACTTCAAATGCAAACACAATAGAGGGGAAAACTTAAGAAAAGTAAAAAAAAAAGTATGAATAAATCAGAACAGTTGGATGATAATCCAGTGCTTGCTTACTCAACGAGGGGGGTGGGGGAGTTATTGTCCCTCCAGAATCCAATCTTGCCAGAAGGTCATTTAAGTAATAGAGAAACTCTGGCCTTGGGTTTTTAAAAAGAAGTAGCCTAGTGAAGGAGAAAAATCATTGCAGAAAGAATTGAGTACTAAAAGTGGGAGGCCAGGGTGGAAATTATTCAAATGTGTAGATGAGATGAAAGGGCTGACTGTATTTGATGAACTACATTATTATTTAAATCATTTAAGAGAAGGTTCAGAAAAGATTTTAGCAGTAATTCCAAAGAGGAGAGGAAAGAAATAATGAAATTTGTTGGAAGGAAAAATAAACAACAATTGTGACCATAAATATGAATGGGATAGGCTTAGCAATTTCTTAAAGGCAATCCATATCCCTTTCCTCCTGTTCAATTCCAGGTCTAAGTCACTGTCCATTTCCACTGTTCATGATATTGATACTGATGGAAGAGCATTGTAGGTTGTCCATCCAACTGCATAATCTCATCTCGATAATAAGCATTTTTCATCTAGCTGCTTTTTATTATGTGCTAGGTAGGCTAAACACATTTAGTTGATTACAGATCTCGCTTAGGATGCTCTGGAGTGTTCCAGGGCTTGTGCAATAAGTACAATGCCATCTGAGAACAGGAGCATCTGGAAGTTGTCTTCATCTATAGGGAATCTACAACAGTTGTGAACTTTTTTGGATGAGCACATATCATCTTGTTTTATGTTTTGCTTTATTTTAGTGATTAGAGGTTTGCAAAAAAAAAAAAAGAGGTATTTTCCTTGCTATAGCTTTCAATTAATCATTTCTTATTTTCTCATATACATGGGGGATACCTGATTGGAGGAGAGTCTTTTAGTCACCCAATATAATGTGTGTTTTTTTTTAATAATCAACATGGAAAATGCTGTCCACCTCTAGAGAAAGAACTATGGCATCTGAATGCAGATCGAAGCATACTGTTTGCTTTCTTTTGTTGCTGTTTTGTTTTGTTTCTTCTTTCTCATGGTTCCTCCCATTGGTTCTAATGCTTCTTTAGAACAAATATGAAAATATGTTTAATATGAATGTATACGTAGAGCCTATATCAGATTGCATGCCGTCTTGGGGAGGGGAGAGGGGAGAGAGGGGGGAGAATTTAAAACTCAAAAACTTATGGAAGTAAATGTTGAAAACTAAAAATAAATTAAAAAAAGAAAAAAAGAAAAATAATCAGCAAATAATAAATACAACAAATCCTTCAGTCGTCTGTGTAATGGTAAAATATTGGTCTTCTGTTGTCTTCAAGCTTTCTAAAGCTTGGCTTTTCTCTTCTAATACCCTGATTGAAAATGACTTCAATTCAAGTGCAGATTATTCTTGTAAACTTTTTTTCTATAAATAGGAAAGTAGATATATGCGTCATAACTTTGAAGTTCTATTGGTTGCCTCTTTTTGGGAGGAGGGGATAGGTTAGTAAAAATGGCTAAGATCTTTTCCATGCCTTTAGTGTCTTTACCTCTTTCAGATACCATATGTATGTAACATGGAGATAATAATAGCACCTACCTCCCAGGGTTGTTGTTTGTGAGGATAAAATGAGATATTATTTGTAGAGTTCTTTGTAAATCTTTGTTGTTGTTGTTGTTGTTGTTTGGTCATTTCAGTTGTGTCCTACTCTCTTTGTGACTCCATTTTGGGATTTTCTTGGCAAAGATATTGGGGTGGTTTGCTATTTACTTCTCTAGCTTATTTTATAGATGAGGAACTGAGGCAAACAGGGTTAAGTGACTTGCCCAGGGTCACACAGCTACTAAGTGTCTGAGGCCATATTTCAACTCATGAAGAGACTCTTCCTGATCCCAAGCCCAGTGCTCTATGCATTTCACAACCTAGCTACCCTTTGTAAATCTTAAAGTGCTATTGTCATTTTGTTGTTTTTTTAATTTACATTGTTGTCATTGTGTTATTGATTTCCTGGTTCTGCACACTTTACCTTGTATTAGTTCATCTGTTCTCATGCCTCTTAGTATTTACCATATTCATCATTTCTTACAGCACCGTATGAATTGAAGCAAAGTGAAGTGAGCAAAATCAGAACAATCTCCACCATAACATCAGTATTGTAAAAACAACAACAACAACAACATTCTGAAAGACTTAAGAACTCTTATCAATGCGTTTATCAGCCATGATTCCAAAGGACTAGTGATAAAGAATGCTGTCCATGTCGTGACAGAGAAGTGATGAACTAATATGCAGAATAAGAAACACATAGTGAATGTGGCCAATGGGAATTTTTTGTATGACATTGCTTATATAATGCAAGGGTTTTGTGTTTCTTTTATTTTTTCCATGGGGAAGAAGAACAGATGGGAGACAGAGAAAAAGTAAATGCTTAGTAATTGAAAAGAGATCTTATTAAAAGAAAAGTATTGATGACACATATACCTGGGGTCTTTGTGCAATAACAAGTCTTTAGTCTCTCTTGTTCTTTACTTCTGAACTATATTTTCAAATATATCTTCGCCATTCTTACCTAGTCCACTTTCATATTGAAGTAAGAAAGAGTCAAACTATATGTTGATTTAATTTGCAGGGTCTTATCAAGTTCTTTACAGGATCTCTGTTTCCTCATTCTCTACAACATATGCATATGTTTCCATTATTTTGTTATCTTTTGGAAAATATTTATTAACAACACTGAAATATGAGATGATCAAATATATCATTAAATTTTTTTAATTGCTTTTGGATTCATGATCAAATCAACTCTGCCAACTCGTTTATTTGGCTTTTCCAGGAGAATTTGTGAGCTTTCTTCCAGTTTGGCTACATCTTCCTTCTGTCTTCCGATATTGTTCAAAGTGAAAATAATGTGTTTAATATAATGTGTTTTTTCCAATAGTATGTCTATTTGGAGGCCTAAGAATTATGATGACAATGATAATAATAATACCCAACATATATTTTGTACTTTAAGGATCTCAAGGCACTTTCTGCATGTTATCCTATTTGGCTTTATTCTCACAATTGCTTTAATTTATTTTTTTTAAATTTTTTAAAATTTTGTTTTGGCTAGGCAACAGGATTAAGTGACTTGCCCAGGGTCACACAGCTAGTAAGTGTTATGTGTCTGAGGCCGGATTTGAACTCAGGTCCTCCTGAATTCAGGGCCGGTGCTCTATCCACTGCGCCACCTAGCTGCCCCACGATTGCTTTAATTTATATCCAAAAAAATTTGCAGCAAAGATTTTTCCCAGTTAATTGTTTCTGTTTTAATCTTATTTTTATTCAGTTTATTTGGGCAAAAACTTTCTTTTTTAAAGAAGTCCTTTTAGTGGATAGAGCACCAGCCCTGGATTCAGGAGGACCTGAGTTCAAATCTGGCAAGTCACCTAACCTCATTCATTGCCCAGCCAAAAAAAGAAAATTCTTTATTTCTCCTCTTTTAGTTGTCATTCTTCTTTTATTTGGCACATTTCCAGGTGATGAGAAGGACCTGGGCTTACACAACATTCTTAATCAGCCATCTTTAGGGACATTCTCTCCAGCGCTCTTTCCAATACATTGCCATATATCCCTTAAGAAGCCTAAAGAGAGGACAAAAATTAGAAATGGAGCAGGGTGGATGGGAACAAGCAGAAGATAAAGAAAGTAGACAGGGAAAAAAGAGCTAAGAAGGATAAATAAAGAGTGGCATAGAACAGGAAGTGGTAGGATTTTTACCAATAATTACCTTAGCTATCAGTCAGGTGCTATATATTACCTACCTTCTAATCCTTAAATAATAATTTCTTCAGCCATTCTTTCTTCAAATGCACTTCTTTTCAACTCATTATTAACTTGCTATTTGATTATGCCTGTCAATCAACTTCTGTGGGTTACATGTTTAGAAGAGTGGTGCCAGTTTGCAATTGCTAGGCTAAGCTAGGAAAGAAAATGACAGTACGTTATTTTATCATTATTTTTGCATTATTGATATTATTTCGTGAAATCTTTTTCTTAAAAATTTTACTCAACTTTCATTTCCACCTTAGAATAATCACTATTATATTGCTTTCACATTTCTCGTGATTTCTTTCTCCTTCTGGCTTTGCCCATTTCAATCATTCGTTTTTGAATTCATTCCACAAATATTGATTTCTTTCCTAATATGTATAGCAACACGTTGTATAAGCTTCCATAGCAGTGCAAGGCACAATATCTGCTAGCAAAGAGTCCAAGTTAAATAACTGAAACTTTAGGAAGAGAAAGGGAAAAACATGAATGAGCAAAGATGCTGCCTAGATGAAGTAGAGTTCAAATTAGGAGGAGGGTAAGAGAACTAATAGAAGATAAGATTAGGAAGGTAGTTTCCTGGAGTTAGGAAGATAACATAGGAAGATATAGGAAGATAGACCAAATTATAGAGGGACTCGAATGCCAAGTTAAGACAGTGTGGTACAGTGGATAGTATTTGGAGTCAAAGAAGGACTGGGTTTAAATCATGCCTCTGACATTTACTAGCCGTGTGACCCTTAGAAAGTTAGTTAAAGAATTTGGGCCTCAGTTTTCTCACTTGTGAAATGAGGAGGTTGGATCAGATGAACTCTAAGGTTCCTTTCAGCTCTAAATCTTTGATCCTATTATCTTATAAACTTCATAAAGTAGGCAATGATGAATCATTGAAGATTTTTGATCAAGGGAGTGATGTGAACAGTGTTTTGGGAAGATTAATTTGCTGCATGGGGGGAATTATGTTGAAAGAGGGCCTTTAAACAGATTTTATTCTACCAGTCAAATACTTTTTATAATCAACAACAACAAAAAAGCACAGTGGGATCTTGTTCAATTACCATTGGTGAAGCATAAAACAAGGAGAAATAAGTTCATCAGAAATATTTTCTGCTGCCCTGAAGAAGATCTAGCACCAAGTCCAAGTAAAGAGGTGGCTGGTAAGGTTCTCAAGATGCCCCTATTTACTGGGATGATTGTATCAAGTCCTAGAACATTACAGAACCTCCTGGATGAGAGCCTTATGGATCCCAACACTCAAAGAGTTTGGCCTAATCATCCACACAGGAAAAACCAACTGGAAGAAGAATATTTATTGTCCGACTTACAACTTACAGTTAGATGGAAAACCTATAGGCCTCATTCATGAGTAGTTTTATTTTGGGATGACACTGCAACTGGGCAATAAGTTTGGTCTAGATTTGAACAGGAAGAGAATGGGCTGGATTGCTTTTCAAAAACTGCCAAGCTTCTTTAGTGATACCAAACTTCTCACTCATACAAAGACTTAAATTTTTTAATGTCAGTTATATTCTGGTGGCATTATATGGTTTTATATCAGTATTGCTTTTTGAAGAATTAAAAATGAATATCATTCAGAGAGCCATGGAAAGGTACAAGGTAGTTGTAAGCAGATTGCAATATATAATAATGAACTACAAAGGCTCAAAGTAAATTATGTCATTAAGTATATGGTTGATTGGAAAAGAAAATTGTCTGGTCATATGGCAAAAAATATTAGATAACTAGCAAACACTGTGCACTTCATGGGTATCCCAGTGGGCTCATGAGAAAGCACAGAACACCACGAAGATATTTGGTAGAACCCCTATAATGTACTTATGGAAAGACATGGACAAGATTTGCACAGGGTGGGTTGCATTTTCAAGACTGGCTGGAACATCAACCTTGATGAGATCACAGAGACATTTGAGTATCAACCCGGCTTTTGTATAAGGCTAGACAAGAGAGAAAGTATGGTTAAATACATCTCCTTGAGAAATTTTCCCTGATTTCCTCCCTCTTTCTGCCTCTAACTTTCTGACCTGCTAATATGGAAATCAGAAAGAACAGAATTTGATGTCAGAATTCCTAAGGTTGTATTCTGATTCTGCCTGCCACTTTGCTTTGTATTACTTACTTCATGGGCCACCTGAAACATAAGGATTGGATTAGATGAAGTTACTTCCAAAACCCAATTTATGAGTCTAAGATTCAACGTGGCTTTCAATGAGAAATAGAAAGCTAGGTGCTATAGTGGATAAACTGTTTAAGACATCGAGTTCCTCCAACAATTTCTTTTACTACTGTTTTCTTATCTGTAAAATAGGGATCACAATATTGCCTACTTCACAGGGTTAGTGTGAGGAACAAATAATATAATATACTTAAAGCTCTTTGGAAACCTTAAAGTGCTACATAAATACTAGTTGTTTGTTCTAAGTAGCCATACTTAGAGAAGACTATATAGGGGGTATGGATTAGCAAGGAAATCTGTATACTCTAATATCTCTGTTTTTCATCTTTGGAGGGCGGTGGTGAGGCAGCAAAAGTTCCCAAATGTATAATCTGTTCGATAAACTACAACAGCAAAAGAGGCAGTTTCTAAATTAGGAAGGTCAAGGTTCGGGTTCTTCCCCTGACAGTATTTGATAAGTGACCTTGAGAAATTCAATTAATGTCTTAATACTTCAGACAATTCTAAGACTATTACAAAATAGTTGCTGTTTTTATTGGCAGATAATTTCCTTACTGATAGTTCCCAATAACAATAAATCATAGGTATGGAACAATGTTTCAGGAAAATACTGTTTTACATCATAACTATTTGTCTAAATGTTTGTCAAATATAAGACTTTATATTTGAAAGTAACTGAATTTAAAACGTAGAACAAAGTAACATTGGTCCCTGAATGTAGAAAATTAAGATCATAGGGTTTTAGATCTAAAATCGTTAAGACCTTAGAGGATATCATCCCCCTCCTCTCCCTTTTACAACTTAAGTAACAGGCCCTGAGAGGTGAGCTGATTTGCTCTGGGATATACAGATTAGCAAGTCCTAATGACAGGTTTGAAAACAGGTCTTGTGAGTTGACACCCAGAGAGAGCTCTTTACTACTACACTAAGGTTCTTCTTAATTAAAGGTTGACCACGACAGGACGGCATTTATTTTCTGGTCCTGCCTTTTGAAAAAATACAGTTTACAAAAGATAAACCTCGAACCAACTACGTCCAGTCGGTGTGTGTCTAAGAAATTAATGCTTGGGGGGGGGGAACTCAAAAAAACATCACCAAGCCTACAGAATCTCAAGTGGACAGCAGTGTGACATTTTACAACCATTCATTCCCTGCATATCGTTTTTAGCCAAATCCCAGCCCCGGTCTCCTCAGTTTACTCCCCCGCATTGGAAGCTAAAAGTGGTTTGGGGGTTGGTGCCAAGAACTCAGGCGAGTGAAGCGCATTCCTCCTAGGAAAGCTGCAAGAGAAGGCAGAGGGAACAACAGCAGCAGCAGCAGCAGCAGTAGCAGTAGCAGCAGCGGGAGGAGCACCAGGAGGAAGGCGAAGGGGAGGGGGCGAACGTCAGGGAGGCAAAAAAGGGAGGGGAAGTCGGCGAACGGGGGCGCGCGCCGGCGCTGTGCGGAATCATCTGTCGGGTCGCGGGCATACGGGCGAGCGCGCGCGCGCTGGGTGCCGGGGCTAGACTTCAGTCCCGGACGCGCTGTGCAGTGGGGAGCGTGTGGGAGTCTCACCGGCTGCTGGGAGGGGAGCACCAGAAACTGTCTCTGGGAGCAGGAAAAAAAAAAAGCAAAAAGCAAGGAAAAAAAAGAGACCTCAAGTCAAACTGCTATTCAGCCAGAATCAGAAGAAGACGTGGGTGGGGGCAGCGGAGAGACCTGTGAGTAGCTCTCTCTGTGTGTGTGTGTGTGTGTGTGTGTGTGTGTGTGTGTGTGTGTGTGTGTGTGTGTGTTCGTTCCTGCCTGTCCGTATGTCTGTCGGTGTCACTTTCCCCTGCTCTGTGGTAGAGGCTGGTGGGAGACAGGAGGGAGGTGGAGGAGCCGCTGGGCTGTCACAGTGACATCCTCCCCGCCTAGGGTTTCAACAAACCTTCCTGCTTGCTTAGAAGAGCCAGCCACAGCTCCCGGCTGCAGCTGGCAAGGAAAGTCGACACCCTCTTCCCTTCTCCATCCCAGGGCCCCATAGCAACCATCCATGCTGAGCTGGAGTCGGCTGACAGACGGAAGGGATTGGGAGTGAGGGCCGGAGGCGGTGAGGAAGGGGGGCGCCACGGAGATCAGTGGACTGTAATGCAGCCCTCGGTTGGCATAGGGTCCCCATCTCCCACCTTCTGCAGCCAGTCCTCCGGGAACTTCCTAAGCCTTCCTTTCCTTTCCTTTCTGCAAAAAAGCGCTGCCTTTCTAGCTCCAAGAATCACCTAGGGAGAGCCTTCTGCGTGTTCCTTGGGCAGAAAAAAAGGTTGAATTTCCTTGCTGCGGCGCAAGCATCTTGCTGGCACTGGGGGCTTACGGACAGCAGGGGCGAGGTGTGACAGCAGGGAAGGGGAGTCCCCAGTACGCTGGTTGTGGCGCGTACATGGGCGTGTATGTGCATGTGTCTACCTTCACATAGATGGTTGTGTGTATTGTTTGTGCAAACATGATTGTTTTCCCCCACCTGTACGGATCATTAAACGACAAAGTATAAGATTCGGTTCCCTTTTTGACCCTAGCTGTCCACAAAGTGGGTGGGCATCAGAGATGGTGGGGGGCAGGAAAAGAGAGTTGAGGACTCGGGGGAAGAAGGCTTAGTACTACAGGTGCCAGTGCCTCCGGTGGTAGTGGGCGAGTGTCTCTCTACTCCCACCCTCTCATTAAGAGTTAATGACCAGCCAAAGACCGGTGCAGAGGCTTGGAGCCTAATCTAAAGAGTCCCTTTGGTGCCTGTCGCTTTCATGGAGCGGTCTCGTAACTAACTTCCCCAGGCCGGAATCCTGTTTCTGAGCTAGTGCGTGATTTGCTTCACTTACCCTCCTTTCAAGGGGCACCATCTGGGCAGCGCCCCGGTGCTGCTGCAGCCCGCTGAGTCCAGCTCCCAACCTCCTGCGTCCAGCTCCCTGCGTGGTCTCTATCCACTCTGGGGCGCTGCAACTCAAAACTGAGAGTCCCTGGGCTGCACTGCAGCGGCTTGCCTCTTCCCTTCACATTCATGGGGATGGCCTTTGGGTTAGAAGGGAAGTCGCCATTTCCCCCAGAGTCATGAACATTGACAAGGAAATCATGATACAGTATAGGCCGAATGGTCATGGAGAGCTTGACCTTTGTTGAAAGACCCTGGATTCCTCGGTCTCGCTCTTCAAACCCTTCTCTTCCTTCTTGGCTCCCGAAGGAGGCATTTTCTCCCTGAAGCACTAAGGGTGTCTGCCAATACGTAGGGGCAGGCGGGGAAGGAAGACTGGAAAACCGGCGGGTACTGCTCTTTCCCACTCCGCCCCTCCCATCTTCTCCGTCTCCTCTTTAGGATAAGTACCACATGCCACAGAGCAAGGAGCTGTCTTTGCTGAACCAGGAAACATCCTTTTCCATGGTCTAAGGCTGTGGGAGTTTGGAGAGCTGGGGTACGCCCAAGCCAGTATTTGCAGGAGAGCGCTGAGTAGACACAAGCAGTATTGCAAGGGCAAGGGACGTGAGTTCTGCCCCAGGAGACACACGCAACCTTGAATTTTACTTAGGAATCTGGAGAGGAAACTCGTAGTTGAAGCAGCCTGGACTTTTTAAGCATGGTCTGCAATTTACTGGAAATAAAGTTCCATTATTAGAATGTTGCATGAACATTGCTAAATAAAATGCTCTTTAATTACATGAAAAAGACGGGCAGATGAGTTTCATTTTTGCCTCCTAACCTCATGGAAACTCCACATATTAAGTAACCCCTTTTTCTGAAAGGGCTCTCCAAGAAGTTATTGTGACCAAACACAAGAAAACATATTTGTAAGAAGGTTTAAGTATAACATCAGCAAGTCTTATAAACAAAAGTATTAGGCAGCAGCGGTGCAGTAGGAGACTCAATAAATGTTTATGACAAGTGTGCTGGTAAATGTTTAACAACAGGGTGTGGGGGGGAAGTAAGCAAGAAAACATTTTTAGGTTTATTCTACATCACTAACATTTTCTCTCATTTTCCTAAGTCTAGAGTTCAGTGGTGTCAGACTGAAACAGAAAAGGATCCTTGTGGACCACACATTGACTTAAAAAAACCACAAATTTACATTATCTATATTGTATTGCATTTTTATTTCTTTTTGTTAAACATTTCCCAATTGCATTTTAATCTGATTTGGACTTCAGTAGGGAATTTGGCTGGCTGCTTTCTTGGGGTTTAACATCTTTGGTGTAGACAATAAATAAAAAAATAAATCAAACCACTGAAAATTTAACAAGGCTCACCACAGCATGTTAAACTCTCTCCAGCACCCCAGGGTTGAATTATATAACTGTTCCTTCCTCTAACACCTTATATACTAACTAGATGCCTCAGAAAGAGTGCTGCTAGATCTGGAATCAGAGCAGAGGATCTGGGTTTGAATGTCACCTCTGCAGTGTACTCCATGGATAATCTTGAGCAACACACTTCATCTCTGGGCCTCCTTTTCTCCTCTTTAAACTAAATGCGGAGTTAGATGACTTCTCAGCTTCTTCACTTCTAATTCTATGATGCAGTAGTCAAACCCTTTCCCTTACTGGAATCAGTTTTGATTAGTGTTCCCAAGTGAAATAATAATAGGAAGAGAATTTTTTTTTAAAGTTTATGACAAGATATTTGTGGGTTTTTTAAATAAGTATTTTACAGAAAAAGAAAAGTAGCATTTAGTGAAGCCATTGTGTTGCTCTCTACAATAGTTTTTGTTTGTTTTTTGTTTAATAGGTTTTGCTTGGGGGAAAGTTATTTTTGAAGCCTGAAACTGAGTTCAATTAGGACTCCGATTTAAACTATAAATTAGCTTGGAATATTAGGAAATCCCTTAATCCATCAAATATTTAGGAGAGCTTAATATGCATTTACTAAGTTTCTTAATATGTACAAGTAGATTCAGAAGAGTTAAAAATGTGCTATATCTTTGCTGAAAACATTTCCAAATGGGAATTCGGAATAGCTTGAGGGCAACATTTTCATCTTTGTCATCTACATTTTTTTTATCTTGCTTTGTAGTTGAATACAATTTTCTTCAAAATTTAAATTCTGAAAATGTATTTTCCATTACAGAAAAACTGTTTAGCATTTCTCAGAATCATAAATTGTTAGGATGAAGAGAATGGAAAGAGATCATAAATGTCATGTAATTCAATTTGTTTATATTATAGAGAAGAAAACTGAGACCCCAAGTAAGGTTAAAAGACAAGGTTAAGAGGCTGACATGGAACTAGACACCTGGTTCAGTGATCTTTCCACTATGCCATTCTTATTATTGAACGATTCCACCATCATATATTACATTAGAAATTAGTCTTAATTTTTAAATAGATTTTATTCTAAGATACTGATGAATTAAAGAAAAAAACAAGTTTGAGTGCCTCAGAAGAATAGCCATTGGAGCTTTGAAGAGATACCAATGATTCCAGTTTGGATTTTTCATTTATGGCTTTATTGGAACTCAGCTGTTGGCTTATGAGTACTGGGAAGCTTTCACTCCAGGTGATCTTTAAATGATATAATATCATTACATGTTAATGGAATGTGATTAACTAAACAAAACTGCAGGTACACAGGTATTTCAGTTTTTTAAGTAAAAAAAACTACTTTAATATTTTTACAGATGTATGTATTATTACTTTATACCATAAATATTTCTGGATGTTTCTGGAAAAATGAATGCAAATCACATTTTAGAAATTTAATATTTTATGTATAGCAAAGGAGTTTAGTATAGATGGGAACACTTCAACAAGTCCATGAAAAATCATGCCCCAATTAATTTATAGTTTTACTTATTTTCCCACTTCATGACTACCTCCCTGACTTCTGATACTTTCACTCAAAAAATGAATGTGAGAGATTATGCCAAAGTTAGATCACCTTTTGTAAACCTAAAGTTCTCACCCTCACTTACTAAAGAACAGCATCTCATACAGAAATTAATAGCAAAGTAAATTGGAATAAAGATTCCCCTACCATTTCTCATTTCATTTGGCAAGCCTGCTTAGACTTCAGTTGTTTGTGTGTTTGAGGGCAAGAAACGTGATTTATAAGCAACTGGAAATCACTTTATATTTAGGCTTTCCTTTCCTTTCAAGTTTCAGGCTTGGAGCTTAACTTTAAGCACCACTGGGGAAAAGGGATTAGGCTACTGTTTGAGCCATAGGTCACTACTTATACTAATTCCTAGAGCAGTAGTGTCTGGAGAGTTCCTTACCCTAAACTCGTGGTTAAGCATAGGGAATTAGAGATGAAGAGGCTGGTGGAAAATAGCAAATTGTTTCTTTAATTTAACTCTTTCAGTTCTGTAAATAGCAGGTGTGACTATCTGGTGAGTTTTGGTGGGTTGGAGTGGAAAGCAAAAGAGAAAGAAGGTACTGACAACTCTCTGTCTTTCTGTCTGTCTGTCTCTCTCTCTGTCTTATGAATGTGGGTAGAGATGAAAGGAAAGGGAACAAGCCTTTATTTAGCACTAGGCACTGTACTAAGGTCTTTACAAATATTATCTCATTTGGGCCTCACAACGTCCTTGTGAGGTAGGTTTTGTTATTAACTTCACTTTACAGTTGGGGAGACTGAGGCAGACAGAGATTAAATGACTTGCTCAAGGTCACATGGCTAATAATTGCCTAGAGGTCAGATTTGAATTCAAGTGTTCCTGATTCCAGGCCCTATGCACTGTACTACCTAGCTGTATATTTTTTCCAGACAGCAACCTTCTCCTCTCATAGAGAGACCCAGGCAACATCATCTTTGTTTAGTTCTTACCTCTCCTCCACACCTTCACCTTGGAAACCAGAGCTTCCCTGAGATGCCTATGCTTTATACCAGAGGTGTCAAATACACACTCTCTCTCTCTCTCTCTCTCTCTCTCTCTCTCTCACACACACACACACACACACACACACACACACACACAGAGGCCATGGGCCACAAGTGGTCCACAACACTACCATGCAATTAGAAAATATTTTTAAAAATACACAATAAAACATAAATAGTGTTAATGAGTAGTTTTCTAAAAATGTAGCTCATAGGGATCCTTACATAAAATTTAGTGGCCCTCATTTCTATTTGAGTTTGATACTACTACTTAAACCACCTGAATCTGGTTCACCAATAACTCCATTAGCTAAGGGGCTGCATGGTCACAAGTCATGTGGTTTGTTTATTTGAACTATTTAGATGCTTATAAAAGTTACTAATTAAATTGAAATCATAAAATTCTCTCACAACTGGTTCAGCCCTCAGCTAGGTAGGAAAATCCTAATTTTTTTTTTTGCAGGGCTTTAAACCTGTGACCTGCTTTAGTTCTGTATATACCAAGCTGGTCACTGGCACCGTCCTTCACACACTCTCCTGAACATGATTAATTAGCAGAAGGGACTCACAAATCATTTATGACTGATCATAATTTAAAGGAAACAAAAATCAGGGAGTAGACACAGCTTAATGAAATAGAGAAAACTATGTAGAAAGCACTCACCAGTGATGATCACCAGGGAGGGACGTAAAACTTTATTACAGCCATGTCAAACTCAAATAGAGAGGGATCCACTACACCATACGTAAAAATCCCTGCAGATTGCCTCTTGGCTTAGTTTTAAAATGTAATATGTTTTATTTTATTTTTATTTATTTTGTTAAATATTTCCCAATTATATTTTTTAATCTGGTCTGGGCCACACTTAGGAGTGTTTTGGGCCACATGCAACCTGTCTTTGATACTTCTGCTGTACAGCCCTCTCATTGATCCCAAGGAGTGAGTAGTACCAGCAGTATCAGTCCATTCTAGCCATTCTCAGCTCAAGAGAGTGGAAGTCCAGCTGCTAGACCCCAACCTTCAAAGTTCAGTGTCTAGCTCTGACTTTAAAGGTTTTTCACTCTTTCCAACTGCAATTGTGCTAGAATTTCCATGCCTGTTGCTCTTGCAAACCTGA